CAGCCCTGAGGGAAGAGCAGCCTTGCTAGGTATCAGAGGAGGACACTGCAGCCAATCCTGATGAGACCTGATAAGCTGGGTCAGATAGAAGGGGAGTAGGCCCTCCCCTATCAGTGGACTTATAGAGGGGCAGGAAGCAGATGAGGGAGGGAGAGTAGGATTGGGAGGAAATGAGGAAGGCTACAGCTAGGATAAAAAATGAACTGTAATTAACATTAAAAATAAATAAATAGATAGATAGATAGATAGATAGATAGATAGATAAACAAATAAATAAATAAATCAGGATGTTCCAGTTGACACTCTATTCCAATTTTTTCCATTGTATGGACCTAAAGAAAACAGAAGTTGGGAAGAAGGATCCAGCACATTAACAGCAAAGGAAGCTCAACCTTCCTCAGTACCAACCCATTCCTCCAGCCCATCACAGCAGTGTTCAATCAAGGAGAATGCTAAGGCTGTCACCCCAAGCACATCAACATCTGCCAAGCAGCCTGGGGAAAATGGCCCAGAGGAAAGCACAGGTAAGTAACCACAAGTTTCTGACTTGGAGAAGACTTGTGTGGAATTGGTTCCCCATTTAAACCCAGGAATGAGCTAATTGCAAGATGAAGTTATAGTATAGAAATGCAGATTTATTGGGAGAAGCTTTTGGATGCAATAAAGGGAAGAAGGGGGGGAGAATGTGAAAAGCATGCACAGAAGAAAGACTGAGGAAAAGAAGGGAAGGAATGATACAAAGAGAGTAGAGTGAGAGGAGAAAGAGAGATAAGGGAACCTAAATGTCTAGATTATATAATGAGGAGAAGCCTCTATCCCTGGGCTGGAAAGCACAGGGTAGTTGGACAGATGCTGGGAAAACCTGGAGGGCAGGTGCACTTCTGTATGGTCTGAAACCTACCTGCCCCCCTTGCATCTGGCTCAGCCACACAGGTGTGAGTCTAGGGCTCACTAGTAAAGTAAGCACATGCTGGTGGACAGGTGTCTGAAGTCTGGAGCACTGACCACCACCACAGAGAATGTTGCATCTCCTTGTCCATGTCCTCAGTCTTTGGCTTCCGTGGTCCAATTACATGCATCTCACAGTCACATTCAAACCTATTGCTCCATCCACTCAAGCTGGCTATAAAGTCCATGGTCCCAGCTCCCAGTCAGCTGTACCCAGAGTCTGGAGAAAGAGAATCCGGCTCACTTTGTGATTCCATCATGGGGAAGGACTCATGGAGATAATCCCAATGACATTTCCTTTCTCTCCCAGGCTCTCTAGATGAATTTTGCTAATGAACAGGAGGCCCTGTTGTCTAAAACTTTTCTCTCTTTTTCATTGCAGTTCAGAAAGTCAGAAGTCTGCGTCCTGTGATCCTCCCTCACGATTTATGTGAGAAATTTCTAAAGTCTGCAAGGAAGAACACTAAGAAGAAAATTGAGACCTGTGGTGTTTTGTGCGGATCCATGGTAAAATTATGAAAAGTCCTTCCTGATCTGAGATTGTTTCTTGCCCTTTTCTTCCCATGACTGTCAGAGAACATATCTAGTGTCTGTGTTCATAGACTTCACCAGACAGAAGGAACCATGGGTGACAAGGCCTGGAAACCTTGAATTTGATGACTTTGTATTTGGTTGCTTTTCAGAATCCCTTGAACCATTTGTTTCAATGTTATAGTTAGAAATTTTCATTGTAATGGTTACTAATGCTCTTAATTCCTGTTGCTGCCAAACTGAGGCTGGAGGCTTCCTACAAGTTCAAACCAGCTTCACAGGGAGAATGAGACATTGTCTTGAAGGCAAAGAAGGCAGGCCAGCAGACAAACAGACAGATAGGCAGGAATGAGGCATAAAGTCATGCATGTTGATTAATTCTAAAAGGAAAAGGAGGACTTAATTCCTTTTGGTACCTGGTCTGAGCACTTACTCTGGTAAGCCTTGGAATGTAAATCATAAACACCTCAGCTTCCTGAGCAGAAATATTGAGTTCTGCAGGCAGGAGTCTAGGCCTAGGATGTGCCAAGAGGGACATCTCAGGGTCATCTCAGCATCTGTTTTTTTATACAGAACCTACAAGAGCTCCCAAGCTTGTGAAACACTGAGGGGAGGGAGAACAGTAAAGGTCATTCACTTCGGTGAAGGATTCACTTACTTGTTTTATGAACGAGTGGGATTGAGACTTCTAGGGAATTGTAATACGTTATTTTCTCTTTCAGGTAGGAGAGGAGTACCAGATCACGCACATAGTCATACCACTCCAGGAAGGAGGCCCTGACTACTGCTATGCCACCAATGAAGAGGAACTGTTTTTTATTCAAGAAGAACTGGGGCTTCTCACCTTAGGGTGGATTCATGTAAGCAAATAACCTCCCTAATGGCAGAGGTCTCTTTTTTTCTCTCTTAGAAACATCCTACCTAAATCTTTCTCTGCACAGACTCTATCCACTCCATTTCATTCTTCTATTTAAACATGCAGTCAGTAGTGTTCAGGGTGAGTCATAGGACCATTTCCTATTGTATTTAATTTTTTTTTAAATTTTACCCTTTAATCAAAGCAAGTCTACAAAGTCCCTTTACCTTGAGAGTCTGGGTCAAGAAAAATACCTTGCTTAGGATGTAAGGGAACATGGTATAGGGATCATGTCCCCACAAAATTATAAATTACAATATTTTAAATAGTACAAGAGAGTTACTTGTAATGATTGTATTTTGTATTTATGAAGAAGTACTTTCTTTTAACATATCCAAAGAGATCATACCTGTGAGGTTTTCAAGTGTTTGCACTTGATGAACACACTTCTGTTGATTTTCAAGCAAACACAGCAACTTGCGTAGAGATTTTTTCAGAATGATTCTCTCATTATCAAGTACTGAAGCTCAGAGAACAAGAAGCTTTTCTTGGAATATTGAAAGGTGTAAGCCACAATCACATGGTTTATTTCTAGGTTTTAAGATATCACATATACTTACACTCAGAACATGAGAAGTTGAGATTTCTGAGGCAGTCTCCTGTGGCTTCATGATTTTCAGTTCAATACAAATTCTTACTGTTTTGCCTAACTCAATAACATAATATGTAATAATCAAAATTTGGCCCTTTGTGTCTAGCTTGTAACACAAATGGATGATCACACATAACCTAGTACCAATTCAGACGAGGCTTTTTGGACTGCATTTTTCAGGATGTAAATCTGAGTCCCTGTGAGTTTCAGAGAAGAGGGGCCGACTTGACATGACTTATGATGACTTGTAAACATTGGTCAGAAGGGGTTCATGGGAGAGGGGTCAACTTTGGATACCTACACTGTGCTCCTGCATCAGTGAACTTTTCTGTTGGTTTGGATTTGTGTTTAGTATCAGAAAAATATAACATGTATTTGTTGATTTGACCTATCAAAGCCATGATCTCCATTGTCTTTGGTGGCAGAAAAAAATAGTGGTGATTTTTGAGTAGAGGGAGAACTGTTTGGGTTATTCTGGGTAAAACAGATTCATGACTAAACCCATAGACCACAAGTAAAAATGAAGAAGATACAAGGCTGATTGAGATGTGAAGATGAGTTAACGTTTGGGAGCTGCTAACATCCAATGAGCGGGTGGTAGCAGTGTGTTGAGGAAGAGTGAGATTTAGAGATCCAAGGAATGAGGACCAGAGGCTGATGAGTCTGGGACAGGCTTTCAGCTGGGCTCATGGTGATAGCAGTGATCCTCTCATACGGATCAATAGGACTTTTAGAGAAGGACTGAGATTGGAATTGGAGATAATTCTTACTGTGTGCAATTTAAGGCATTGTCAGATATCAAATCAATATGGCCATTGGAAGGAAGTTTTGAAAAGCCAGAAGAAACCAGGGGAGGGACCTTAGAGGCTTCTGCATGGAGTTGGCCTAGGAAATGTAGTAAATGGGGAGAGCTGGCTGCAAGAGAATCCATTCCCTGGCAGCTGTAGTGGAGGTCTAACAAGGAGAACATGGAACACAGTGGGCGATGAAACAGCAACAATGCTGCAGGAATACTGGTTAGGAGGTTCTCCAAAGCCACACAGCAAGGAGAGTTGAAGAATTAATTCTGCATGTGACTCACAGGCTCCAGCATGCAGAGTATTCATATCTCCTGCTGGAGTTTTGACTGTATTGGCTAATGAATTTTACGCCATGGTAAGAAGAGCCTTCAAAGTTTAGCAGATTCTTAGAAATCTGAGTACATTGGCACCCCATGAAATTTTACCACTCAGGAAGATGAGGCTACTGGATGGTGACTTCAGAACCAACCTGAGCTGAGAGTAAGACTGTGCCTCAAAACAAAAGTCATCTGATGAAGTTTATGGCTATTTTTGGAATCTGTTATTAATGTCATACTAAGGCTTGCATCTGATTCCTAGATTCTTGGGAGAATTATGAGTCTGCTCTTGACAGAACTTGGTTAAGGGAGTACTGACATTTGAGGGAACTGTCGGATGGTATGAACATGGTTTTATCTTATTGATGTTGATTTTCTTGATTTTACTTTTTGTTTGACTTCACTTTAGATTTTCAAATGAGTGATATTTAAAATATAACTAACTTGTGAGTGTACATTCATGAATAGCACAGTTTAATAGCTCCTTGAATAAATATGATGTATATATACAACTTAGAGAAGGAAACAGGAACCTACCAGGAGCCTAGTCCAAACTCCTTCCTTTCTTAATACAGATTGAATTTCACTTTCACCATCTATTCCTGGATTTCATTAGTGGTCACATCCTATATGTGACTCCCACCATGCCAACATTACCTGAAATGCAATGTCTAGATACATAACTTTTACCTCTGCTTTCCTTGATTTAGTATCTACAGGATTTATCCCTACTCTGGCCTGCAGTTGCCTGATGTGTGTTTACACTGTTGATCCAGTTAAAAAAGGGAGGGAAGAAAAGGAAAGAGGGGTAAATCAAGAGACATTACTACACTACCACATCTGAAGGGCAGAAGGGACTCCTCTTCACATAGGGGGTAATCACATAGGGTTCAGAGCAGGAGTGAAGGCAGACACCTGAAGACTCAGAGAGATTGTTGAACCAATATTACTAGTGTTCATACAAAAGGTTGATGAGGAAAGACTGTCTGCTATTTGCAGCAGAGAAACAGATGTGGGTTAGAAGCTGACTGTCAAAACTTGAAATGGTTACCATTTAGACATTCGGTAAAACTAAGCATGGATGAATAAAAGAGTTTTGTTCTCAGCTCTAAAAGTGAGCTAAAAGTGAGAGAGAGATACTTAGAGTCTTTTGGGTTTTATGTGTTAGGAAGACAAAGCTGATTGTCCCTTCTTCCTTCTCCACCTAGCAGATGAGTGTTTCTCTTGAATGATTTGAGGGATCGTGGTAGGGGCCAATTGTTGAAGTTGGTTGAGCTTGCCTTTCTTGGTGGATCAGACCTGACTGACTATGCTCACTTGCAATTTTTGTCTTCTTTTGTTTTCATAGACCCATCCAACCCAGAGAGCATTCTTATCAAGTGTGGACCTACACACCCACTTTTGCTACCAGCAGATGCTGCCTGAGTCCATCGCAGTTGTGTGTGCCCCCAAATACAAAGAGTGAGTGTGTAAGATTCAGATCTGTAAGAGCAAAATGCTTCCATGGCCGAAAATTATTTAAAATTTATCTATAGATGGTCTTAACTGATTGCTGTTCAATTAAGAGCAACATTCTAATTAATACTAGCTGCTCCTAAAAATATGTGGATATCATGCTGATTTTCTAGGACAAACTTTCAAGAAGCAACCTCAAAAGCCTGAGGTTTAATTCTAAACCAAACATTCTACATTAGTGTCCTCTCTTTTCATTCCTAATGTCAAGTTTTTGTGAATTCCTCAGCAGATCTAGTATTAGAAAAGCATTAAATTATCCTGTTTCCCTTGGTGGGTATATATATATATATATATATATATACCCTGTTTCCAGGGTGTGTGTGTGTGTGTATCCTGGATGTTTTCCCACAGTGATAAGAAGACTCTGAATTTAGCATTTTTGTCCTTTGTTCCTCACATTATTGATCTAAATAGTCCTAATACTTTACTTGGTTCTTCTTCCTACTCATTTCTACTGTTGAATCCCTCTGCCCACTTTGCTTAAGATGAAATAACAATATTCAGAATGAGAGCGAGATAGACAGACGGGGACATAGACATACAAAGGCAAGAGTAGGAGTATGAGAACTAGCAGGAGAAAGAAAAAGAAAGAAGAACGAGTAAAGGAGAAAGGAAAAAAGAAAGACGAAGAAGAGTGTAATGATTAGGAATAGCACCAGGAGGACAATGTCTAGGAGAAGGATTAAGATGACAGTGATGGCTTTGAATTGAAGTAGGAAGAGGTTCACAGGTTCTAAAAATGGGAAGAACAGTTGTACAGAGAAAAAAGACAGGAGGAGGGGTGAGAAGAGAGAGTAAAGGAGTAAAAGGGAGAGAGATCTATGAAGGGAAAGGAAACAGAAAACAAAAATTAAAGAAGGAACAAAAGATGAGAGAAAGGTGGACACAAGAGAAGGAAGAGACCTAGGGGCATATCTGCTTGACTGAGTCTGCTTTTTCATTTCAGAATTGGAATTTTCTCACTGACACCTACTGGGATAAATGAAATTTCCTGCTGCTCCATGAGGGGGTTCCATCCTCATAGAGAGGACACTCCTCTCTTCTGCGTATGTATCTTTGTACTTTGGATCAAGACCTTGGTCTGAGCCAGGACATAGAGCTCATAAGGTTTTTCATCTTTTCTGATCTACTTGGAAGTTCAGCATCATTGGTCACATTCTTAAACATCTATAATAACTATGTAATTAGAAATCAGTGCACAGTGAAGATAAGTTTTCTCCCATTTACAACCTGGTCATTTATGTTCTATGATGGTATTGACCCTTACTGATTCTTTTACCTAATATCTGTTTATTTTAATACAATGTACTTTCCGGGGTTCTTGAGAGAAAAATTGAAGGAGGACTGGGGTGTACATCAGGGTCAGAGTGTGAGCTCAGCATTAGTAAGACACTGGATTCTATCTACAGTATCATGGGGAAATGAAGTAACAGATAGAGTATGGAATCCATTAGTTTAAGCAATGCTTATTACATGTTATCTTGTTCTTCTGCTGTATCAGTTACTAAGTTTCAGTTAGAGATCTGAATAAAGAAAAGGCCATGTAAGATAAAAAAAAAAATTAAGCATCTTTTATTCTGGGATTCTGCCTAGGTATTAGGGTTCTCAGCTGCCTAGTGAGGTGGTTTCTTCTCCCCTGTTGTGTTTAGTGATATCACACTCAGTATGATCCTATTGATCCCCATGTCAGATAAGCCTCAAGTCAATGAGATTCTGGCACTTTGTATCAGCCTGGACCCTTCCACAGAGTTTACATTTATAGGAAATGAAGCAACATATTGAAAGGACAAGAACCTGCCTCATAAAGTATATAAGATCCAGAGATGAAGCCATAGAGATTCAAGGAGGTTTAAGATCCTGGGGTCATATTGATTAATCCTTGTAACTTTGTTTTACATATGAATACCCTCAAGGACTATTATATGGTTATCACCACAGCTCCAAGATTACTGGTTCCTTTTAATAAAGAGATTTTTGACAACTGGCTCTAAAAAACATGTCCAAAGATATATGGGTAGACACTGACTCTGTCTATGAGGAGTACTGGGTCCCAGACCTTTGTTCATATATCTCATTTTCCTCACAATCTCAGCTCTAAGCTACAAACTACTGGCCTTCAGAGAGCTTCTTACAGTAGAGGCTTATGTCTGGGGACATGGCTCAGTTGGGGAAGAGCTTGTGTTTCAAGCAGAAGGTCCTGGATTCAACTTGCAGCATTCCTGAAATATGCCATGATGGCACAGCACTGGGATCAAATGGCAGGAGGAAAGTTCAAAATTCTCCATGACTACCAAGTTACATGATCTAAACTAGGTCACAAGAGCCATTCTTTTGGTATAAAATTAGAACTATAAGTTGTTTTAAACAGGACTTTTCCGTGCTTTGATCCTATTTACTTTTCTTCAATTGCAGGACTGTGGCCATGTCACCATCCAGAACACCAAAGTGATGATCACTGATTTACGATGAGTATAATGCACTAACCAACATCTGTGGGAACCTGTTTGTGTTTGTATGTGTGAGTGTGTGTGTGCGTGCATGTATTTTGTGTCGTGAGGAGCAAACAGATATGTATTCATAGAGTGGTGACATATCTGCGTGTATGTTCTACTTATGTCATGTACGTAACTTGTGTGTAGTGTATGTTACATCTGTGTCATGTATGTTCACAACGTGTGTATGGATGAACACTGTGTTCATTCTTTGTTCTGTAGATTTATTGTTTTGACTATTATATAACATGAGGAGTTTCTTTTCTGGTCTAGTCTATTTATTGTTCTTTAGACCTTCTGTATGTTTATGGACAGCTCTTTCTTAAGTTAGGAAAAATTTCTTCTATGATTTTCTTGAAAATATTTTCTGGACCTTGGAG